GTAGAAATCCAACCAGGGCAGGGTCCTTTCTGCAAAAACAACTTCACAATCAACTTTTTTGTTCCTTTTGAGGATCAAGAGGATCCTGCCCCACCTACCAGCAAGGATGTCTACATCTCCACCTTAAAAGGGTTCTGTGCCTACGTGAAAGTGTACGGTGGCTACTCAAACATTGACGAAGTTCAGAAGTACTCCGAAGAATTGCGTGAAGAACTTGTTAAGGACGGGCTCGGTGATTCATTCAGGAAAGACATATTTTTCTATGCTGGTTATGACAGCCCCTTTAGAGTTGTTGACCGACATAATGAGATCTGGTTCATTAAAATAGACTCCGTTTTGAAACCCAGTTTTTTCTAAGCATGCATTCAACCATTGGTTTCCCAAGTTGGCTTATAGCTTAGATTAAGGAAAAAAGAGGAGGCATCATTTTGATAGAAAAGTAATAAAAATTTGCCTTTAGATTGTCAAAGTTTGTTATTTTATTGCTATCATTAGTTAGCTATTAATTATGTTGAATTTTGTAACTATTCTTGGCAAAATGGAGGAGTCACCTTTTTGTAAGTTTATGGGTTTCAAAAGTTAGTAGCTATGCTGAATTTGTAATTATTCTCAGCAAAATAGAGGAGTCATGTTTGTCTTTGAAAAGTTATTAAAAATTGTTATTATTTCTCAAAGTTTGTTCCTTTTTCTGGGAAAGGTAGTCATATGACACATGAGATTTGCTTTTAACCAAAATTGTGTCATAACCATTGAGATGATAAATATTCAAGATGGACTCCAAGACTAATATTTGAACACTGTGAAGAGTGCTATCCAAATCAACATGCGACAGATGACCGGTCATTTTTCTTAGCGAGTACCCTGAGGGATCTTTATCTTCTACTGGCTGTGCCCCTACGGTAATCAACATTTAACTTGCAGAAAAAAAGTGATAATGGGGGTGAGATGATATATCTCGCTGCTACTCATAAAATACATCTAATTTCAATAGAATCTGAGGAAATGTTGCGTCAGAATGATTCTTAGGCTCGTCAAATCACTGTGCGCTCTGCGAACTCCAGCGTTCTGCTATTCTCCGCTTCAACCTGCCGTCGTAGAAATCTTTTTCCAAGGGAGGGGAGGGAAGGGAACTCGGACCGAGGTTTCATAGAAACCCGTGTTAAATTAGCACGAGACTGTTTTGCAGTTTACACAAAAATGAATTAATTGGCTTCTTTTTGACAGTAAGGAATCGTAGAGAAACTAGACTGCTACGACTGCCATGCAAAGTTCGGGGAAAATTTTACGACAATACCTCCCTCGGTAGGAGGCTTTATGCACAGAGCTTTCTAAACCGTTACCCTCCCCCGGACTGTCATAGTTTTGTCCTCAGGTCCGTCTGACCTCTAACATGCCGGTGAAACTTGAAATGTGTCTGGCGTAAAATGTCGACCCGGAGGCCGAGCTATTCTCGTGTTCCAAGTGTTAGCGCCAGTCCCATTTTCTGCAAGCAATCCAGTATATCTTCAGCCGATTTCTTTGAGGAACCTTCGCCGGAGGATACAGATGGCGCACCGGCCAGTGGAACACGAAATGGCATCTGGAATACAACGAGAAGAAAGCTTACATTGGTGTCTCTGTGTCTTGTTTACTTCGCGGCGACGGCCTCTTTCGCGATTCTCTCCCCCTTTTTCCCAGGAGAGGTATGGTAAATTTAATTTGGTAAGGGGCTTAAGCGATTAGATCATTTTGTTCGGCTCAAAAAAATATGCTGGTGTTAAACTGCCTCATATACTGTACCTGAACTCTGAAACAAATTCATACAAGCTTGTGCTCAGAATGATGCAAACTCCGTCTGGAAAATTTTTTCACTCTAATTAAATTAGATTTGTGAAGGAAAGCAAAATTCTTTCAGCGGCGTTTTCAAATTTCATCATCAACAACTGACTCTTCGTGATGTAAATTGGTCTCGATGTTTCCCCCTTCTGTTAGATAGATAGATATGAGTTAAGTGTCTGCAAAAAGTTGTACATGAGTTTTTACATCCATATTTAAGGTCACCTTTTCGTTCTTTTCTTTGATGTTTAGCTCCCAACAGTTGGTCCAAGATTCACATTGACAGCAGGATTGTTCCTTTGTGCTGGATCACAGATATTATTTGGCTAATTTAGTTTTACTGTGACAAAAACTCTGTTACATCTTTACCCCCCAATAATTAACTTGCAATATAGAAAATTTACTGTTTTGTTAGACAATTGTGGGAGAAGAAAGTGCAAATAGTTAATTTCCTTTATCACTCCTTCTTGACAGATTTGTATCAATGCTACCTAAAGGTACTGTTTTTGTGGTTTTCTGTTTCCTCCTTCGAGTTGTGATGGCAATAGGAGGAGCAGCAGCAGACACTGCATCATTTGCTATTGTAGCAGGAGAATTTGGCTCCAATATTGGCACAGTGATGGTAAGGGTTCATGAGAAATCAACCATCTCATGGCTCTTGATCATGTTAGAGTGTGTCTAATATTACTTTAGTCTTGTCCAAAAAAAAAAACAGTAAGTAGCTGTGTCATGTACAATGTATATGAAATGTCAGTAGTTATGAACAGCAGTCTCTTCATTTAACTGCAATGACAAACCAAAAACTCAATTGAGAATGCATGAGTCTTGTGCTGACGACTCGTTTGTAGCTTTAAACGTGATCTCCACGTTGTTCCCTTAGGTGAGTAATTCATTTTGATCATAGTTTTGGCAGAACTGTGGCTGTAACAGGCCACCCTCTAGGTAATTTTGTATGTGTCATAATCCAAACTTTTCCTGATTTAAACTTCTCAAACCAGTTTAAACCAAAGAAAAATTTCAACGACAATATAAACAATGTGAGGTGCTTAGCACCTGCAATCTCAGTTTGCCGGCAATCATTGTCAGAAATGCTAACAGGTTCTATGTTGTAATCAATTTCAAAGTGAGTTATAACTTTGTACAATGTTCTCAAATTTCTAAAGTAACCCTTCAATACTCATACTGCATGTATTTTGAATATCATTTGTGAGTATTTTAGGGGGCGATGGAGACATTCACTGGCCTGGGGTTTATGCTGGGTCCTCCTTTGGGTGGAGTTTTATATTCTGTGAGTAACTAATTAAATGACTGATTGGTTTCAACTTGTTTCAGAGTTTGGTATGGCATACTTGCATGTAAATCTGTTATCAAGCATGAGGGTTTTTCAAGTATTTTCTCTCAGTGATGAGGAAAGGCAATATCTTCCTTTTTTTTTAATCTAAGAAAAAGTAATGTATGACTTTTCTTTACCCTCTTCTGAAAAGTTTTAATGCAAAGTCCAATTTATAACTTTCATTAATTACTATGCTCTGCATTAATTTTTGATTTTAATATAAATTTTTAAATCTGCATTGCAAAAAAATTTGTCGGGGTGAGATTCATAAAGTAAACTGCTATGGATGATATATGATCATTAATTATTATAATCATGATGATACAAGGGCAATTAAGTGAGTAATTATTGGCTAATACTGAAAAATACTACATCAGTTTTTCAAAATTATCTTGAAATCAAAAAATACAACTTAATAGTATTGACAAAATTTTACCCCTCTTTGAACAAGCCTGAGTTTCCTTTGAATTCATTTCATGTTTTAGGCTGGAGGATTTAAACTTCCATTTATAGTGCTTGGTAGCCTTTTATTGTCAATTCTCCCAGTGGTTATACTCATTTTGCCCAGAGACCAAGGTTTGAAGTAGTCCATTTTACAGTTGCGTGCTTTGTTGCCAAGCCTTGGAATTGGAGTGAGGCTAAGGGTTACCTTGTTATGATAGAAATGTTCCTTTTCAAATGTAAATGACTTTGTTATCATGCTAACTAGATACTGGTCTCTATCACAACAATGTCACCTTCAGCCTCACTCCAGATCAAAGGTTTGGCAACTAAGTGCACAACTGTAAAATGGCCTATCACGTTTGTTTGTTACTTCTTGCTATCCATTTTCTCCGTCAACTTTTTGTTCACCTCTCATTGTGTCTTTTCCTCCCACCTGTTGTTGTGTACGTGCCGCAAAGATCATCTATGGCCTCGATTGGTACACACCTAGTGATTTGGTCTTAGCCCAATGCAAGTGGCACACTATTAAAAATTTATATGAACATAGATTACTTATCTTGGCACATGACTGTTTCTATAACTTTTTACCTGCTCCCATTATGAAGCTGTTTATGAAATATGAGTGCAACTATAACTTGCGTAGGAAATCGACCTTTTTATTACCAAGACCAAAACTGAAGTTCTTCGTAAGTCCACCTGTTACAAGGCCACATCTCTTTGGAATTCTCTTGACAATCATACCCGTGCAATCTCAAGCAAAAGCTTATTTAAAAATTTTCTAAAACACAAAACCTCATATGCTTAGTTAAATTTATAGATGAATAATATTTTGATTAATTTTTAATTAATTGGGTTAATTTTTAAAATATTCGACCGTATTAGGTTAATTTGGTCAATTAGGTTGATTTTAAATCAAAGTTAATTAATTTATTAGGTTATTTTTTATATACATGACCATATTAGGTTAATTAGGATAATTAGGTTGATTATCAAATACACAACCACATCAGCTCCACTGTAATTTTTATCATGTTTAAATAAATGTTGTTGTTGTTGTTGTGTCAATGTCTTGGCCCACTGACACTACAATTTCCTAAGGTTTAATTATCCTCTTGTTGATCCTTCATCAATTTCATTCATTTTTATCTCCTTTCCTTTTCCAAATTTAATTGTCAAGATGCCAAATTTTAGCTAATTGCTTTGTAGATCTTCCACGGAAAGTAGACACTAGCTCACTGCTTCGAATGACAAAGATTCCAGGAATTGCCATGATAGGTATTGTGTGAAACTGATCTTTGATTCCTCTGAAATATTCCATTTCATATTGCTGCTCAACCACAATGATCTTTCTTTTGAGCCATCATCATGTGCACTCGTTCATTGTAATTGGCTTTTTATGTTTCGTACCCATGTTGGCTAAGTTGCACTTGAAAAGAGCCCCATATTTAAGAAAATATGCACTGAGCCATCAAGCTGAACAGTTTGTTTGTCACGCGATTGTTCAAACGTGCCTACGTGCTTATTGCAAAAACACCTTGATGCTTAAGTCAGTTACAGGTTACTCCTCTGTTGTCAGCAGCCTCAGCAGAGACTCTTCCCTCTTCGTATTGTTGGTAACAATGCCCCAAATGGGTGTTTGAGTTAATCAAGTATCTTGTGAAAGTATCAACTCTTCCAAGTTGTGTTTTGTTCTTCACTGTTAGTATTATTTTGTGAACTTCTTAAAGTTGATTGGATTCGGAGGGGAGCAGGGTTGGCGTAGTGGTGAGAGCACTCGTCTTCCACCAATGTGTCCCGGGTTCGATTCCCGGACCCGGCGTCATAAGTGGATTGAGTTTGTTGGTTCTCTACTCTGCTCCGTGAGGTTTTTCTCCGAGTAATCCGGTTTTCCCCTCTCCTCAAAAACCATCATCATTTGAATTTATTTCATTTAGAGTTTATTTGGATTTACACACGACCCCATAAGCTGTTTAGCTTTGAACATTATCGTGTCTTAATAAAGGTGTTATTGTTATTATTATTATTATTATTATTATTATTATTATTATTATTATTCGTTATATTTTCAGGTTTATCCATCCTTGTATCGGGATTAGTTCTGGGCTTCCTTGATCCAACATTTGCGCCTTATATGAAAAAGGTATTTGTAAAAGCTGTTATTTAACTAGATGAAAAGAAGTTCTGAAACGTATCGGAGTTACTTAAAAAACACTTTCCTCCAATTCCCACTGAGTGCTACGTTTATTATGTACTCGGCAGCGTTTGAAAACATCAATCCTTTTTTTAATACCAATGTCAGATTTCAAACCTTTTTTTTGTATTCTTACTCGTGGAAACGTTCGGTATTTCAACTAATAAATGTGATCTGTGAAAGATTGATCTAGACATTGATTTTCTGCACTTTCTCGTATACATTTCTAAAATTTTAACCTGGGATTGTAGAGTCAAATCAAACAGTATCCCCAGGTTACTATTGTCGTTTCTTTCCATCACCTTGGCCTTTTTAAATTTCATTTAGATCACTGAACTCGTCATTGGTTCCCTTGTCTTTGACGCTTTTCCGGTTAATCTGGAAATAGATAATATTAATAGATTAATTAATTAATAGATAAATTAATAGATTAATTAATAGATAACTGCTGGAATGAGGTTTTAACACAGTTTGACAATTCATTTGTTTGTTGCAATCCCAAGCTGTTCTAGATGTTTTTGCGAAAAGCAATTCAGTTCAATTTTCTCGGTTTCTTAGTTCGGACTTGGTCCCAGTAAAGTTGGTTTACTGTTCCTCCTCTGTGCCGGATGTTACGCCATTTCAGCGCCAGTTATAGGCTGGATATCTGACAAAACGGTAAAAATATGTTTGGTTGTACTGCTTAGCCCAAGGTACACTTGATCCACCTCAAGGGACAGTAAGCTTTTGATCGATAGTTTTACATGGTATTGTACAGTCTTATTATTCTATCTTAGTTGTTGCATTTGCAGTGTACTTTGTATTTATATATATATTTTTTTAATGAATATTTTTAGTATTTTTAGCACTTAGTCTTGAGGGTATTACAACCATAAATTATTGTAAACTTATCATTTTATAATTGTACTTTAGACTTAGATGCACGACCCGATAAGCACTAGCTTTAACTATTATCCTGCTAAAATAAAGTGGATGTCTGTATGTTTGTACGTGGATGAAAGCCGAATTTGTAAGCTGTCTTGAGGTGCGAAGGTAATAGAACCATGGCGATATCTGTTGCCACTTCTATGTACATTGTTTTTCTTTTGCTGCATGAATCCCATGTCTGACGAAGGATTTTTTTAAGTGAAAATACCCTAAACGAATTCTCATTTTTGCGTAACCTTAATAAGCGCATGTTTTCTAAATTAATATAAGAAGGGTGTGCTTATCCGAGAATTAACAATTTTTTGCACAACGTATGTGAAGCATGAAAACGCCCTGAAATTTTTAATGACCCTTTGGGAAAGAATACTTACATCTTTACTGGTAATCTGTTTTTTTTCTTACTGATTTAACTACAGGGGAAAACACGTGTCGTCATAATCATTGGTGCAGCTTTCGTTATCATTGGGATTTTGATGCTGGCCCCAGCTCCATTCCTCACATTTCTTCCTCAAAGGTTCGTCCGTGTGCAAATTTCTACATTGTTTCTACAATTTATTTACCTATTTACCTGTTGTGAGATGTCAGATTGCCCGATTGCTCTAAGGAGGCTAAGCATGCGCGCCTTTTGGAAAACTGGCGAGTCAGGCTCCTCAGACTTCGCACTGGCAAAAACTTCGTGCTAAATTATGCGCACGAAGATCTTCCCTTCGTTTTACTGTTATCGATCTGTTTGGTGTCAAAACGAAACAAAACTAAATCATGTACTCGATCAGACGCCATTTATTGATCATTAAATAAAAATGCGCATATCTTTTTACGTACGTAATTGATGATCACATGGCAACTGATAGACAAAACCCCAAGCTTAGTTTTCAACCGTTATTTGTGAAAACTCCTATTTATTTAATATTTTACTGTCCAACAGAGGTCTTTGGTCAGCAAACTATGCGTTTGGCAGTGATTTTTTTTTTATGTTTGTATTTCGAGGAAGGTGTGGTTGGTCTGTTTATCCATGGGACTGTTAGGCGCCGCTGTCAGTGCGTATCAAGTACCTTGTATGCCAGATATGTTGGAAACAGCCAGGTAAATAATTCATTTACACTGTTACAAGAAGTGTTTTTTCTCGCAGAGGGCCGAGTAACCACTCCTCTAGTCATAACCTATGACCGGGAATGACCAGGGGATTATCCTGGGAACTAAGGAACTACCGCCAGGCTGTAGTTTGTTGTGTTGACATTCAAGAAAGAAAAAACGCGTTTTTCGACCGTTTCACTGTGAAAAAGATGAAGTAAACTCTAGTATGCTCAAACATTAGTCAGTACTTTCCAACAATGGTGAAAAGAAAAAGCTTTGATATCCCAATCTAAGGAAATTTAAGCATAAGTACAGACGCCAGTGAGAATTTCTGCTAAGTTATCATATTCTCTTTTTCACAGCGGAATAATTCGGGAGGTAGTTTTGGGTTTAAGAATTTTCGCCGTTCAACTTTGCAAATGAGTTGGCTTAATCAATTATTCCTCCACTTTTTAAAACTGCCTGGTTTCAACGGTCATGTAAAATTAAACATAAAGCATTGAAATTCACCTAATGCGCAAGCAGCATTTTCTCAAGACACTTATGGAGAGAGAGGTAAGGAGGGATATGGCGCGACGTAAAATTGTTCCCGTGCCTTTATATCTCTTTAGAGAACATGGAATGCCCGATGATATCACTACTCATGGAGTGCTCTCCGGGATTTTCAATGCAACAGCAAGCATAGGGTAAGGAATGAACAGCACTAGTGCAACGCCGAGAGCGCTCACTTCCCACCATTGGTTACCCTCGTTCATTTTTGCACCTGGCGTCAAAAGTGAGTGGAGTTTATTACAGTTGTCGTCCCTGCTTCAAGGGTTTATCTCTAAATTATCGGATTTCCTCTTGTCACAGAAATCTGGGCACGATTACCAACCGCTGTTCGGGAAATAAGCTGCGCTCCTCTCCTTTTTTAGAAGATCGAAGCTCGAACACGAGAGAAAAGGCGATAATCGGGACAACGATAATCAAGCCCACTGAAACCAAACACTCCCTAGTTCCAATTCCACCTGGGTTCGAGGATCGAGCAACCACTCCGTGGATTAGCAACTGCCACAATTTTTCCTTGCTTTTGTTTCATTTATTTTGCTCTTTTTCAATCTCTCTTTTTGGTGTATGTTCTAGTGCTTTTTTAGGACCCACAATTAGTGGACTGACAGAAAACTACTTGACCTTCCAGTGGTCAACTGTGGTAAGTACATCTTTGTTCCTGGGTTAAGACTGAGGCTGCTGTACTTGTAATCTGTTGTGCTTGACACTCTCCGGCAAAGAAGTGAGGTACGCATCAGTCTACGAGGTCGTCCCTCAGTATCTTGGCGAGCCAACGTTCGATGTCTCACTTTGAAATGTGATGCCACCATCGTGGACTTCAGTAGAATGAGGTTTGAGGAGGAAGAGGGAGATCTCTACCGAGGAAGTTGCAATAAGCGGTGGATAATCTAACATTCTGCCAGCATTGTCTGATAATTTGAACAATTTTTAATTTTTTGTACTTTCTTTCTGTTCAGGTCCTAGCTGGGATTCTTGGATTTCAGGTAAACTTAATGGACCTGTAAGAAGTTTAGTCGTACCTGCTAAAGTATCGATAAAAGGGAAAAAAAGAAAAGAGAAAGTGAACTACAAGACCAATAACGACAAACGTAGTGTTCGAAGCCTAATGAATTGCAGAGGTTGAGAATAACGTTTGAGGCTAACGGCAAAAATTACACCTCTTCTGTCTTCTGACAGCCCCTTTTATACTCGAGATAATGCGATGTTTTCATAAACTGTGAACATATAGTATGTTTTGCACAAGGTGGATTTTGGCTTATACCAAGGAAAAGTGGTTAAACCCAGAGTTTGTTTAAAGCCGTCGGCCGGTGCCTTAAACGCGTTGCTTAACCTCACTATCGTATGTTTTTGTCCCGCTGAGGATTAAAGGCGTTTCAATAGCCCGTTTCCGAATTACCCTNAAACCCTCATTTGTGTTTTGTTGTTCCTCTTTTGTTTCCACCATCGCCAGCCGCTTATGGGAAAAGTTATGGAAATCTCTGCAGTTCCTTCTTATTTTCTCTTTCTTCTTTTTCCAAACTATAGTCTTTCTTTTCTTCATTTTTTCCCTTTATTATTCCTTTTTTTTCCATCCCTTCTTCCCTTTCTTCCCCCTAGTTATTTATTTCATCGTGTTACGCCTTTCTTTCTTCAAAATCTTTTTTTATTTCCTCATTTTCTCAATTTTTCTTCATCTCTCTCTTGTTGAGTTACATCCGTTTTATTTTTCTTTCTCTTTTTTCTTCAGGTATAATAATTGTTGTGTTTCATGGAGTCAGAAAGAGACAGTCTGTTTTTAGGACGAAAAATCTGTGGCTCAGTCATTTGTTGTTTGACTTGGTTATGATAACCATTTGATGCTGTTCGCTCTGGAGGATCTGGGGCCAGTTTGTAATCTTGCAAGCTCCGTTTTAAACAATGCTGCTTTAAGGATAACGTTGTATTGTAGACAGTAAACGAACTCGGTTGTAAATTTCTCTTCTCGAATCACACAATGTATTTTCAATTCATATTGTATCAAGAAAAAACGATCATTTTTTCTGCGAGAAGTTGTGCGCAAATGTAATTGCGTGTCGATAAGTCATATGAAAACGTTTCCGAGTTCCGAGTTCCAAAAACCTTCAAAACGAGACTAAATGTCAAACCTTCCAAGAGAAATGAGTTTAATTTAATGGGAGATGTTCATTTTCCTATCACTTGCCCTCGTTAGAATGTAGAGGAACTGAGTATCTCCGACTTAGCTTCATGATTTAATGCAGCAAGACCCAAGGGAACCGATTTAAAGTGCTACTGCGACCAAAAATGCACCTTTTCTTTTCTCCTCAGAGGTTGAAAGTACTTACCCTAAGTAACAAATTTTCCAAACCTTAACGAAAAACTCCATCGAGAAGTAATATTATTTTCCCTGTAGATTCGCGGTCTAAACGGCCGCCATTCTTCGAACTACAGAACTCCGCGCGAAGAAGAAGAAAGTGTGAGAACCCTCGGCAATTTTAATGAGTAGACAAACTATAAAGCAACTAAAACAACTGGAAAAAATTGCGATAATAATAATAATAATTAAAAGTTAACTGTTTTGTTTACATTTTAGGTTGTTGTCTTGACTCTCTTCACAGTTTTTGATCAAGGAAGAAAAAGGTTTGTTCGCCGCATCAGTGACAGAGGTTTTAGATAGGATAGGTGACCCATAATTGAATGTTAAAGGGCGCTATAGAAGTAAATAAATTATTAAATTGTTAAATTATTATTTTTTTCACCAGAATTCGGAGTTATAGTGAAAGAAGAAAAGATCCTTTTGAGAAAGATGGTCAAGTACAGGTAGATAAAACCCTCATTTGTGTTTTGTTGTTCCTCTTTTGTTTCCACCATCGCCAGCCGCTTATGGGAAAAGTTATGGAAATCTCTGCAGTTCCTTCTTATTTTCTCTTTCTTCTTTTTCCAAACTATAGTCTTTCTTTTCTTCATTTTTTCCCTTTATTATTCCTTTTTTTTCCATCCCTTCTTCCCTTTCTTCCCCCTAGTTATTTATTTCATCGTGTTACGCCTTTCTTTCTTCAAAATCTTTTTTTATTTCCTCATTTTCTCAATTTTTCTTCATCTCTCTCTTGTTGAGTTACATCCGTTTTATTTTTCTTTCTCTTTTTTCTTCAGGTATAATAATTGTTGTGTTTCATGGAGTCAGAAAGAGACAGTCTGTTTTTAGGACGAAAAATCTGTGGCTCAGTCATTTGTTGTTTGACTTGGTTATGATAACCATTTGATGCTGTTCGCTCTGGAGGATCTGGGGCCAGTTTGTAATCTTGCAAGCTCCGTTTTAAACAATGCTGGTTTAAGGATAAAGTTGTATTGTAGACAGTAAACGAACTCGGTTGTAAATTTCTCTTCTCGAATCACACAATGTATTTTCAATTCATATTGTATCAAGAAAAAACGATCATTTTTTCTGCGAGAAGTTGTGCGCAAATGTAATTGCGTGTCGATAAGTCATATGAAAACGTTTCCGAGTTCCGAGTTCCAAAAACCTTCAAAACGAGACTAAATGTCAAACCTTCCAAGAGAAATGAGTTTAATTTAATGGGAGATGTTCATTTTCCTATCACTTGCCCTCGTTAGAATGNATCTCTGCAGTTCCTTCTTATTTTCTCTTTCTTCTTTTTCCAAACTATAGTCTTTCTTTTCTTCATTTTTTCCCTTTATTATTCCTTTTTTTTCCATCCCTTCTTCCCTTTCTTCCCCCTAGTTATTTATTTCATCGTGTTACGCCTTTCTTTCTTCAAAATCTTTTTTTATTTCCTCATTTTCTCAATTTTTCTTCATCTCTCTCTTGTTGAGTTACATCCGTTTTATTTTTCTTTCTCTTTTTTCTTCAGGTATAATAATTGTTGTGTTTCATGGAGTCAGAAAGAGACAGTCTGTTTTAAGGACGAAAAATCTGTGGCTCAGTCATTTGTTGTTTGACTTGGTTATGATAACCATTTGATGCTGTTCGCTCTGGAGGATCTGGGGCCAGTTTGTAATCTTACAAGCTCCGTTTTAAACAATGCTGGTTTAAGGATAAAGTTGTATTGTAGACAGTAAACGAACTCGGTTGTAAATTTCTCTTCTCGAATCACACAATGTATTTTCAATTCATATTGTATCAAGAAAAAACGAGAAGTTGTGCGCAAATGTTTTTTCTGCGAGAAGTTAACACCAGAAAATTTGGAAAAATAAAATGCAAAAATTTCGTCGCAGTAGCACTTTAAGTGGCACATGTGGTCGCGAGGATTTTGAAGCGTATGGGAAATCTTTGTGAGAAAACGTTAACTTCAGCAAACACGTGGGACGTCAGAAGATCAAGAATTAGTTCTTATTAACCGAGGAGGAGGTCTGTATGGGAGAATCTTGACCAAGGTCCAGCTCCAGTACAGACCGAACGTAGTGAGGTCTGTACCAGCGACCGAGGTCAAGATTCTCCCATACAGACCGATCTAGCTCGGTTAATAAAATGTTTATTATATGGCTGTGTCTTATATGCCAATTTTTTATATTCTTTGTACCTTTCTTTTTCTAGACCGGTATAGATGCCGGTCTAGATGAGAAAATCTAGACCGCTTTCAAAATTGATTTCAGCCAATCAAATTCGGTAGTTCCCAGTCTTTGTGAGACACAGCCACATAATAGTATGTACTTATTGACTGAGTGGGAGGGTCTTACAGAATAATATTTGGCCGGAGGTCACGAGTGCGCTCGGTTCGTACGTCATGGCTGCATGAGAGCTGCATTTGTTCCTGTCTGACTCGATCAAACTCACTCAACAAGCAATTTATGACCATCACTCTTTCTTGAATTCTCCTTATCCCTGCGTGGTCGTAGCGGTACGTTCCTTTGTAGCCTTGCGCATGCTATTACCTACGGCCCCTAGACAGGAATTATTTTAAATTTTGTCCCAAAGCAGGCGGCAATTAGTTAAAGTTTTGCCGTTTGCCACTATCTCGTACCCAGTTCCTACCATGTAACTGTTACTGAAATGTAAGGACGCTAAACTGCTTGGCCGTGGAAGGTATGGGAACGAAACTAGTTTGCCACTTGCCCTGATCGTCATTTTTAACCTGCAGTGATGCATTCTTAACGTTAAGTTTTTACGGAGAACCCCATAAGAAACTTAAGATTGTTCTGGAGACGACATTAAAGCTTTGGCAACTGAACACGTTGTTTATTTGGTTTGGAACTGCTGAACCAGCGGCTGATAGGTCAACACGTATTACAGAAAACCAAGAGTTATTATTTCATGAGGCTACAAGTCGACAGCGTAACGGGAGCCATATCGGTTTACTTTACTAGATGTACATGTACTAAAGCATGCAACTAAAAGAAACCAGATCAACAATGTTCTCTGCGACAAAATCGGCCACAAACAAAATTGCTACAACTGTAATCAGAATGAGACTAAGAATTAACAATCCCAGGTAACACAAAACACTGCGCTTTACAAATTTTACAATTTCTACATTTCACAAGACTCTCCGCAACTGAGTGTTTAAGTTACTAATCGAGGTCCACAGCTACGCTGGATGTACCACTCAGTTCCCGGGTCGAGGGAAATTTGGCGGCTGAAAAAAGTTTCTTTCCACCTTATCCAGTCTGGAAAGTTCATTACTGAGGAGAAAGATGGAAGAGAATAACAATCTTTATTTGCCCGAGGGGGCTGTCCTGATTGATAAGAGCCGCACCCACCCTCCCCTCTCTACATATACTTGTTCACTTAGACTGGTTGACAGCCTCTCACTTTTGTGCATAAATCTTTGGGCCGCCATGCATCGTCAGTGAACCGAAGCTTGGATTTCTTGATGAGAAAAGAGGGGAGAGGATGGCCTGCAATCATTCCAAGGCGGAAGGGGAGGGTGGCTGGGTTTTGGTAGCTCTACCCTCCCATAGTGAGTTGTTTGCTCTTCTTCCAGGTTCGCTAATCAAATTTGCCGGGTGACGGTTTCGATCTGCGTACTGTTTTTCTAGAAGCTATTTACAGTTAAACTAAGTGTAGTGTACCCCTCAGGATTAGATTAATGATTTGATTATTTGAATATTGAACACGTGATGATGGATCAGAACTATTTCAACATGGCGTCAGACATGGGGGGAAAGGTGAGTTCGATTGTTGTGTAGAACTTCTGGTAAATGTTATAAATGGAATGTTGTCGAGAGCTTTTTTCACCTATTTACATCTTGACGAACTTGTAGAAATTATTGTGTGTATTCATGGTTGAAAAAAATAGTTAACGGGCGAAGCTATCGCAAGACTTTTTTTATTTCGTTAATATTTGAAATCGACTGTTTTCGCAGTGTTTTTACAGTGCAGTTTGTTCATTTTCAGGATTCCTCGTCAAATAGAACAATCTTATTGGACTTCAGAAATGGACTTCTAATTTGAACAATGATCCGCGCCTTTTCAAAACGGATACGGCTATCGGGTTCAATATTCAAATAATCAATCCATTATTGCATTCGTGAAACGGCTAGCGGGTTCAATAATCGGATAATCAATTCATTATTGCATTCTTGAAACGACTGGCGGGTTCAATATCCAATAGATCAATTCATTAATGTAATCTTAAGGGGTACGCTTCACTTAGTTTGACTGTAAAATAATCATAATACAGAAGTTATTCAGCGCATTTCTGACTTCACTGCGCTTTACATGAATAGAAATGATAGATAACAAAATCTCTTATCCTAGCTAACATATTAATTAAATACAGTATCGTCACTTGAAATGCTTGAAAAGCGTTAAGAATGATAATTTTTTAAAAATATTCTTCAAGTAATTTATTTGTGGTTAAAAACGCAGATTTCAACAGCAAACATGTACCTCCTCTGAAAGTCCTGCTTGTTTTGACGTTCGTTCGTGAACTCTCTCTTTTTCCAGTGCGATGGCAAATGGTTCCACTTAAAGGGTGTATCATAAATCCTTCGAACTTCCACGGTACGCGGACAAATACTCAGCATCAGGCTGACAAAAGCAAAACAAAGAATGGCCTTCATCGCTCGGTCAGTGGAAAGACTGAAAATTTGCGGAGTTGTTTTTCTTCTTCCAAGAGCGTCCTTCTTGCTCGATGACAACGTCGCTTTGAGCGTTTTTGGCTGCTTGGTTTTTTTTTTATATTAAGTACCCAAACAATCGATTATTAACCGTTAGAGTTGATAAGAAGTCGGACTATTGAACCCCGATGTCGCCATATTTTGAATCCTATAATTGCACTACAATTAAGTGAGGCGGTTGCATGGGGCTAATATAGCTTCACCCTGAAAACTCGCCAAGTATAGGAGCTCGAATGTGCCTACGTAATGAAAAAAAAGATTGACAAATGATTAAACATTGATCCAGAAGAAGATAATTTCACCAGAAGTATTTGTGGATTTTGAAGAAATGTTTCTGAAAAAGTGTACTTAAGAAAAATTATCGTGATCGAAGCGTATTCCCTGGGGGTTTTACAAGGCTAAGTACTCACACCCTTGAGAGAGCTTTTCAGCGTTGATGAGTTTTTTACAAAAGTCATGGTAATAAGTCGTTTAGAAGGAGTTTGAAATATCAAACATCCGATAAGTTTTAAAGTTTTATAAAAGAAATTCTTACTGTTTACCATATCCAGATAGAAATATAGTATGCACTGTATAAATGAAGCAATTAAAAAGTTTTCTTAATTCGTGATAGACAAATTTAATTGAACTTTTGACTAAATGCTGAAGCTCCTTAAAGAAAAAAGAAATTTTACGGTCCAATTCTCACATTTCAGGTTTCTCACGACCGTTATTTTCGCTTTTAAACGGTTTTGGACAAACAGCGATAAACAAACGATAAAAATGACCGTTAAAAAGTGTTTACCAAGTTTCAAAAGAAAATATTAGTTTTCCTTTTTTTTCCTTCTTTTTTTCTCTCGGTCCTTTGTAAGTTTCGTTCCATGGTCTTTAATAAAAAAGTTTCAGCTGTGTCACTAAAAGCTACTACTCACGCCCGCAATATTCTGTTTTGAAATTTAAATGTCTACATGTATTGCGTCCTAGCCAACTATAGGCATATCTCTTGCATCGCTATCAAGAGTGACTCTTACAGGTGGCCACCAAAACCGCAAAATCCTGAGGATCTAGCTGACCTTTAAACTTGAAACGCAAAGAAGCATTCAAGCGCTAGCGAAAAATTTCAAAATGCGCAAACTTGAAAGAAAAAAAACCGATCAAACTAAACGGACCACGAAGTAAGTCAAATGGAATATTTTCCAAACATTATACATCTGGAAAATTAAGCACTGAGTAACTTTTCACGAGGCTGTGTCCCATTAGTCATGCCTTAAATTAAACAGAGAGTAAAACATGCTTACCGGGCGCGTAGCGTCCTAGACGCATATACGCACGTGCGTACTTGAAGTGACCAGAAAATTTTGAAATTTTTAGCAATTGTTTCCATTTTTAGGCTCAGTTTACTCAGGTTTCTAGATCATATGTACTTGTGCGTACTTGAAAAAATGACCACGCTACGCGTCTGCTTACATAACTGTTATTAATTTTACTTTCTCCATGATGATACAGTATATTAGACTAAAATCTTAAGACATTGCGAGACCATTTAATTTTAGATCTCTGGGTGATGAAGCAAGTTTGTGTAAAGACGTACATACGCAGGAAAAGGCTTGGAAATTGACCGAATAAAAATAGGAAATCAGCTGATGTCTTCATTAATACTGAGGTGACATGAGAGCATTTGTTACTAACTGTGCGTCAATACAAAAAAACCATTGAATTGGTATCGAACTGTGATGCATGAGTGCATTTGAAAACTTTTTTATTCGGATTTTCAACATCGGAACAACTCCCCACCCTCCCCTCCCCACGCGCTCGCATTGGCCTCTCCCCTGTATAGCAAGACGCTTTTGAAATGAATTGAAAACTACTTCCAGCACGCTTTGACATCAACAAATCAACAACGGGGTTTTTCTCTTCTAAAACTTTACCTTGAACACAAAACAGCTGTGGCAAGTGTTAGGGGAAAGAAACCCTTAGCTTCCAGCTGACGTCCATAACCGGAAAACGTCTTTACTTAGGATCTCTACCGATAAAATTGGAGCAGGAATCGGTTTGGTGATGATAGAGAAGTAGGTTTGGGAAACATGTACTACTGTACATACCCAAAGCTTTCACCGCGTTTAACAAGTTTGAATCCCTCTTTTCTTATGCGTGTAGTGATGAGATACTTTCAAACGCGAGAAATCTTTCCAGTCTTGTGTTCTGGAGGGAGTTATGAAGGGGCACAAATTAGTTCATTATCCAAATGTGCTTGGTAGAGTACAAATAAAGCGCGAGACGAGTACCAATATCACGCCATATTTGTACTCCAGAAATATCCGCGAAATTCGCCCGCACTGAAATAACAATTTGGCGTATTGGATAATAAATCTCTTATTAAACGATTTGTTGTGTAGTATCGCTGAGTATTTTTACTCGATGTTTATATTTTGACTCGCCCTACGGGCTCGTCAAAATACGGCACAACTCGTAAAAATACTCAGCGATACTATACAACAAAACGTCTAATAAGATTTATATTTTTTCGCTGCAGGGCGAGTACCGGTATTACGTGCTTGACAACAGTGCAAATGCATAAAAGTTCTTCTTTTCGGGTGAAGTATCATGCAACAACATCCTCATATCACGCACGTTTAACGACTGCGGTTTTTCTCCAAACAACTGAACAAAGGATGACAGCAGGACTACTAGGAGGGAACTTATTCTCATCGGCATTAAAAGCTAGATATTCGCAGTAATCCATGCTATCGAGTTCTGTACTGTGGAGAATTTTGTAGCGAGGTTTTACCGAATGTTCTTATGTACACCACTTTCAACTTCTGATCCAAAATTTATATTATAAGCATTACAATTTCGAGCTACTTTTGCATTAATCATCCATCTGAGGTAATTTTACAAAACAGAAGCTGTCTTGATATTTTTTTACACTGAAAAAAGTCATGTATACTCAGTCCAACGATCGAATCAGTTGAAATCTTAACTTGGTTTAAGTGATCGTTTCGCATTATGAATAAAAAACGCTCCAACAGCCCCTCCGGCTTCAATTAACTACAGAAGGATGTTGTAATATACCTTACGAGGCTCATCAATTAAAATGTCTTGTGGAGTTAAATATAATTAATAAAGATGAGTAAACTGCTAATGGAAGGAAATGCACGTTACTTAGTGTTCTGATGAATCCAGAGCGAACTTTAATGGAACAATTTTCATGACTTGTTTGATGTCTTCCCTAAAATGTGCGCTTCTCTCTTGGGATAGAACTCTTGGTTTAGAGAGTACGAAGCATTCCATGCTGGTACAATTTTCCACCCGTTTTCCTAACAGCAGATTGACAGCTGGAAGAAAAATTTCATGTCCAAATTTCTTTAAAGTTGAAGGCTTGGGATCTCAATTAACCTCGGTAATGAATTGAAGTAATTTTAGTTTTTAAACCCTGTTTTGGCATGATCGTGGCATATAGCTAAAGTGGACACTTCAGTTATTTGAAGCCACTAATTAAAAATGAAATATTAAACCAAGATTTCCTTTCCCGAATGAGTCAACTACAGTGGTTTAATTCACAAAATGAATTAATCCCAATAAAATCTTGGTCATGATTTCACTTATCATCGAAGACTGTCATTCCTTTTAAATTTTGTATTTGGTTTTTC